ATCTATCTATCTATCTATCTATCTATCTATCTATCTATCTATCTATCTATCTATCCAATACTTCAAAGGTATGATTATGTCTAGGAGCTGAATACTTAATTACTACCAAAAATATGAACTACCTTAGTAGCTTAATAAAATATAGATATAAAAGTTTGGGTAGGTATTGCTTTAAGCCTCTAAAACAGTGAGTGAGAATAACTAGAAGCAAATGGGTCTGGTGAGAATCTAAACAGACACAAAGAACACAGTAGGCAGTAACCCAGAAGCTCTGCAAGTACTGTTGGGGTCAACGAATTGTTTCCTCCCCTCGCTGTCCTTGCTACCCCTCTTAGGGGTCAGGACTGATCCTACTGCTTTACCTGGAGGGTAGACTAATGCCACATGGTCTCCATCCTGTAGGTGGCCCCTTTCCATCAGCATCACTGCTATCTTCTCTGCACGCTTGTGTAGCTGAACACACGTCAAGGAGTTTGCTATTGTTCCCTGAGCATCACAAGAACAGGTATTTAGAGAGATCTTCATCATAGAAGACCATGCATCATATATTCTACTTAAATGAAATGCTCAGGTCAGTGGGTTTTGGTATAGTCACAGAACCACAATTATAATGGTCACATTTAGAATGTTTTCATCCTTCCCCCCTACTGTGCCGAGAGAAAACGGACTCTCCCTCTTCAAAAGCCAGCAACTGTCACTAGATCTTCAGCTACACAGCTCAAGTGAATTTTCACGTAGATTTTTAAAATTTGCAAAACAAAGAAAGGCTAAAAATACCTTGAAAGAAGTACAGTATCCTATTGGCACTAAGAAATATCGAAATATATGCCTTTCATGCATGAATAAACTACATTATAGAAGCTCAGGCACGATTATCAAGAGTTAGAGGCCAGTCCAAGTTATTTACAGGCATCCTGCACTGCATAGTACTAACCTGTCTCAACACAAGAAAGTAGAAGAGGTAAGCTTTCTACAAATTACATTCAGCTAACTTAAAAAAAAAAAAAACCTGAGGATACAATGTATAGTTTGCATTAATCACAGGTGAGAAGATATAATAGTCCATGGGTACTTTGAAATAGCCCCCCCCTTTTTTTAAAGCAATAGACATTTCTACCTGGTACTCTATGGAGTGAAGAAGACAAGTTAAGCTGAAAGTGAAAACTGGTCATGTGTTAAGTGTATCATATTTATGTAAATAGTTTGGAAAAAGGATGTAGGAGCTTGTGGGACTTAAAGGAAAATACAGTGAGATTCAAGGCTCAAAGACTGAAACTCCCAAGTGAAAGATATTTGTGAAAGTGAGATCTTAAATGAGCTGGTGGAAGAGCTACCATATAGAAAACAGCTGTATGGACCAAAATGGCCAGAGCCTCTGGGCTGTTTGGGAGCAGTGCCTGGAAAAACACACAGAATTCCTGTTCCAAATGTCCCATGTCATAAATATACATGGCTAGAAAGGGAGGTCCTGATGGGAGTTTAGGGAAGTATTTTATGATGCATTAAGATACTCATACCAGTACCTCATATTTAGCAGAATATTCAGCAAAAAATAAAACCTGTTTAATCACAGTGGATTCTATGAGGCCAAGTTGTTATCTTTGATGACTGATACAAAAAAAGGTAGGGCAGTATGAAGTCATCCAGGTAACAGCTGAATTAACCTTCAGACATCCACTGATGCTGTGACTGGTGTTTTAGAGAGAAGAGATGCTTAGCTTGCAAGTCTCTAAACTGGTCCTTTCCTTCCCACATACTTTCCTTTGCATGACAGAAAAATTAAAATAAGAAAACATAAACTGGTATGTAATGTAGACTAGTGAGAGCAGAATGAAGCAAAGATGCTTAGTAAGTGTAGGTGTAAGTGTATGAGATGGCATGAGTCTAAGAAACACAGACAAAAAGTTATAATTTGGTGCCTTCAAAATTTAGCATTCTTCTGAGCATTTAGTCATGGACATGTCTGTCAGCATGAATCAAAACACAAACCTCCCTGGACTTAAGGACCATTGAGCTCTTTAAAGCAACTATAGGGGTGAGATAATGAACAGCAAAGCTGATGGTAAGGCTCCTCATCAAACTTACCTTGACATTAGAGAATGGCAGTTTCTTTATGAGGAAAGGCAGAATACCATCTACGGTCATACACAGGAAATGAGCCTCCTGGCTCTCTAGCATTATATCTCAGAAAGAGCTGACAGAACTGGCGTACTCATCTATCCCTACTGAGAACAGCTACTTGTTATTGGGGTGTGTATCACCATGGTACTGTTGCAGTATGCCTATGTCTGCCTAAGATAGTTGCAATTTCTCTAACTGATTTTCTTTCACCTTCAAAAGAGCTAAAATGAATCTCTACTATAGTTTGTATGTGGTCTGAATTTTCTCCAAAGCACCATAGGTTAAATTTTAATTCCAACAATGAAATATGAGAATGCTGCAAACATTAAGACCACAGAGTTTAGAGGTAAAATCTTAGGGAAGAAAGTAGGATTATTACATGATATCATCAGAACAGAAACTCCGTGGTTGAATGATGGATTTCTGAGAAGAAAAAGAGACCAGCACACATAGGCATCCAAAGTCTGAGTTACTCTTCTCCTTTCACATGACACTCTGTACTATCTCAGGGTTCTGTTAGCAAGAACACCATCATAATATATGACCTCTCAACTTTGTGTCCCCAGAATGGTGTGAATGGCTCAGCAGGTTGAGAGCACCTGCTATTCCTCCAGAGGACTGCGGTTCGAATCCCAGCTCCCACAAGGCAGCTCCCAAGGCCTTTCCCTCTCTCTCCACTGGTGAGCAGGTGAACACACCAATGTAAACTTTTAAAAATAAAATGATCTGCCTCAGAGATTTTACTGGACCAATACAACTGCTTATCAATAACCTGATGATGGAAGACAAAGCCCATGATTTGCACCCTCTCCCTTTCTTTGGTTTGAGAAGTTTGGATTATTCACATCACCAGTCAATAATTTCTAGAAAATAACTTTAGTTCTAGCTACTGAAAATTCCTACTAATGGGCTTTTAACAAAATGTGAAACTTAACTCACATGCCTTCTTTTATCTTTGATAAAGTTCTAAAGCAATTTCTAAAACATTCTTTGCCATTTCATGGGGTTAACATAAAAATTAACCCATCACACTCTATGACAATGGTGCAGGAGAGAAATATGCTTTGTGGTAATTAGGATCTGAAGCTATCATGTACAGAGACTTGAAATTCATTGGTATTACCCTCAAGTCCCTTTAGAAGCTCCTATGTGGGAAAGAGGTAGACTATCATATTTGCAAGTCTGACATAAGTTTTGCTCCACAGCTATGGCTATGTGATGAGGTGACCACCTTGCCTGGAAAGAACATGTTGAATAAACACTGTCTTCTGTTGGGATTATCTTTTTACGTACTATGTAAAGGTTGTCTTTGTATTATTCAAATGTTGATTTCTGTGTCAGCACAGAGCTGAGAACTGTCTGAATTTTGGTATTGTTAATTAAACACTCTTCTCCATCACCTTCTGACTGGGTTTAGTAAAGAAATAACAGTTTATAGCTAGGCAAAAGAGGAAAGGTAAAATCCATCCAGAGATGGGAACTGTGGGAAGAATTAAGAGATACAAGGATTTGCCAGCCAGACATGGAGGAAGTTAGATTGAGGAGAGGTAACAAGCCATGTGGCCAATGTGTACTAGAATAGATGGGGTTAATTAAATTATTCAAGCTAGTTGGGAGGTAGCAAGCTAAGGTCTTAGCTATAATAAATAATAGTAAGTCTCTGTGTCATTATTGGGAACTGACAGGTCAAAATAGTCAGACAATAGTCTTCCCCTGAATATTGGAATCCCTCACTGGCCCGTGGGAGATGTGGTATGTGTTGAGATCCCTCTTCCCTCTGCCCCTTCCCTACATTATCCGAAGAGTAGCTCACAGTAAGTTCTCAGTTTGAATGTCAATCATGATATAAGACATTATTTCTTTTCTTCCTTTCTAACTTACAAGGTTGAATATGACATAACTCCATCATATATGAGTTCATTGCCACTTGCTCTTTGATAGTCTTGTGTGTTTGTGTTCATGTTGTGAGGGTATATGTTTGTGCACAGGCACATGAAGGTAAGAAGGCAACTTCAGGTATAGTTCATCTATAAGGTGCTGCCCATCCCACCTTTCTTGAGACGAGGTCTCTCAGTGGCCTTATACCCAGGGATCCACCTGTCTCTCCTTTCCTAGGGCAAGGATTATAAGCATTTCATCTCCAACCCACCTCTCCTTGTGTAGCTCAGGAACTGAACTAATGTCTTCATGCTTACAAGGTAAGCACTATACTGACTGAGCTATCTCTGAAGCCTCTATCCACTTTGAAGATCTTAATACAATCTTTTACTGCAATAGAAATACTACCAAGTTCAGAAACATGTTTCATTTTCCCAAGCACTACTTGTTAAGAACACTGAGCTACAAAGTGAATAAACTGTAATTAATTAAAAAAAAAAAGAACACAAGTTCCAAGTGAGAGTTTCCCTGAAGCATTAATCATTTAGCTTCAGACATCATTTCCCAATGTCCTCATCAACATTCATGGGAAAAATTTATTTCTATTCTGAAACCACTGGATAAAAAGAAGATTTATAGGTGAAGTTGTTTCATCAAGTTAATATTGTCTTCTAAAATAAGTTGTGGGAGAGTTTTCATGACAGGCTGGTAAGGCAAAGTTATACAGAGGTCAACATCCATTCTAAACATAACAAACTTCATAGTCAATGACTATGAACTTGACACCATTTTAACAATGAAAAAAAAAATTAAGGAGTGAAGAAAAGAGCAAATAAAAATTCACGTTTTAAATACATAAATAAGGAGGTGGCGGAGCCAAGATGTCGACTAGCACATACAGTTTCTGAGCTGTGGAAGAGCTAAATGTCTGAGTTGGTGAGTGGAAGGACCTCTAACCCAGGAAAACAAAGGTGAGGCATTCTAAACAACAGGGAATCGCAGGAGGTGAAAACTTTGGTCTCGGGTCACCCCGAAACTTGTTTGGGGAAGGTGAAGACACACTTGCAGAAATTGATACTTCTCTCAAAGAAAAAGTAAAATTAGAAAAGTTCCAATCACAAAATATCCAAGAAATCAAGGACACTATGAAAAGACAAAATCTAAGAATAATAAGAATTGATGAAAAAGACTCCAGGCTCCAAGGTCCAGAAAATATTTTCAAGAAAATCATAGAAGAAAATTTTCCCAACTTAAAGAAAGAGATGTCCATAAATATACAAGAGGCCTACAGAACACCAAATAGACTAGACCAGAAAAGAAACACATCACATCACATCATAGTCAAAACACTAAATCTACAGAACAAAGAAAAGATATTAAAAGCAGCAAGGGAAAAAGGCCAAGTAACATATGAAGGTAGACCTATCAGAATCACACCGGACTTCTCATCAGAAACTATGAAAGCCAGAAGAGACTGGGCAAGTATCATGGAGACTCTAAGAGATCACAAATGTCAACCCAGACTACTATACCCTGCAAAGCTTTCAATCACCATAGATGGAGAAAACAAAATATTCCATGACAAAACTAAATCCACACAATATCTACACAGCAAACCAACCCTACAGAAGATACAAGAAGGAAAACTCCAATCCAATGAAAACAACTTCACCCAAGAAAACAGGGCATACAGATAATATCCCAACAAAAATGAAAAGAAAACAAGCAATGAAACAGGGTAAGATCACCGACTCCATTAAAAAAGGAACTAACATGCATTGGTCACTATTAAAGAAGCAGAAAAGCAACAAACCAAGTAATCCAATTAAAAAATGAGGAACGGAGCTAAACAGAGAATTCTCGATAGAGGAACATCGAATGGCAGAGAAACACTTAAAGAAATGTTCAACCTCATTTGCCATTAGGGAAATGCAAATAAAAATGACCCTGAGATTTCACCTTACACCCATCAGAATGGCCAAGATGAAAAACTCAAGGGACAACACATGCTGGAGAGGTTGTGTAGAAAGGGGAACCCTCTTCCATTGCTGGTGGGAATGTAAACTGGTACAACCACTTTGGAAGTCAATCTGGCGCTTTCTCAGACAATTAGGAGTAGTGCTACCTCAAGACCCAGCTATACCACTCCTAGGTATATACCCAAAATTTGCTCAAGTACACAACAAGGACATTTGTTCAACCCTGTTTGTAGCAGCTTTATTTGTAATAGCCAGAACCTGGAAACAACCCAGATGTTCATCAACGAAGGAATGGATACAGAAATTATGGTATTTTTACACAATGGAATACTACTCAGCAATCAAAAAGGAGGAAATCATGAAATTTGCAGGCAAATGGTGGGATCTAGAAAAGATCATTCTGAGTGAAGTATCCCAGAAGGAGAAAGACAAACTTGGTATATACTCGCTTATAGAGACCTACAAGATGTGATAAACATAATGAAATCTATACTCCTAAAGAAGATAATCAAGAAAGCGGAACGGGCAAAGATGATCAATCCTCATTTAGAAAGACAAATGGGATGCGCATTGAATGTATGACAGGAGTCTACCGCAAAAGGCATCTGAAAGACTCTACCTAGCAGTCTTTCAAAGCAGACACTAAGACTCATAACCAAACCCTCGGCAGAGTACAGGGAATTATATGAAAGAAGGGGAGTTAGTATCATATGGAAAGGATAGGAGCTCTACAAGTACCAAATATATCCGGGCACAGGGTCTTTTCTGAGACTGACACTCAACCAAGGACCATCTATGGATATAACCTAGAACTTCTGCTCGGATGTGGCCCGTGGTAGCTCAGTAACCAAGTAGTTTTCCAAAGTAAGGGGAACAAGGACTATTTCTAACAGGATCTCAAGGGCAGGCTCTTTGACCTCCCCCCACCCCCAGGGGAGGAGCAGTTAGGCCACAGAGGAGGACTTTGCAGCCAGCCTTGAAGATACCTGATAAAACAGGGTCAAATGAAGGGGGAGGAGGTCCTCCCCTATCAGTGGACTTGGAAAGGGGCAGGGAGGAGATGAGGGAGGGAGTGTGGGATGGGGGAGGGAATGAGGGAGCGGGATACAGCTGGGACACAGAGTTAACAAAATTTAACTAATAAGAAAAATAAAATTAAAAAAAAACAAAAAAACAAAAAAAGAACAAAACAAAAAAAATACATAAATAAGTATATAAATGTATTTACTACAAATAAAGAAAAGAATTAAATGACTTGGCTGAAGTTCCTGGTTAAAAAAAAAAAAAGATATTCTTCATGTTTTGAGACAGAAAGTTTTCTACTATTCCTGATCATTTTAATAAGCACTATTCCAACCTTCAATCTTGCTACCTCATACCTACTAACTTCAGTTGCCAAGGATGCAAGCACATGAATAGATACTGAATGCAATAATGAAAAATACCCTTCACATTCTGAAGTCAAGTGTTTCAATTATCTGAAAAGACCCATGGTCCAAGAATGATAGCTTTAAAATACAGGTCAAATTCATAATTATTAAACATACTTTGCAGAGCCGGGCAGTGATAGTACACACCTTTAATCACAGGACTTGGGAGGCAGAGGCAGGTGTATCTCTGAATCCAAGGCCATCCTGGTCAGAGAAAGTTCCAGGACAGCCATGGCTACATAAAGAAATCCTGTCTCAAAAAAAAAAAAAAAAAAAAAAAAAAAAAAAAAAAAAAAAAAAAAAAACCTTCCAGAGGCTAAAAGAAAAAATACACAAGCAACCTTCCAGGCTTCACAAGCGCTACTGTGATGAGTGATTACTGAATACGTGATGGCAAGATGGGAAAGACAGAGTATGTAGTGCAGAGATAGGAGACAAAGGGAATCCGCGTGGTTTGTGAACTGTGGAGTGAGGTGGAACTGGGAGACTATGTTTAAAAGGTCACACTGATTGGATGCCAAGCCTGGTATCCTGACAACACTCCAAGGAGCTACTGGGGTATCTTCATTACAGTTAGACAAAAGCAGAACACTGCTATTTTCACTATTTGTCCATAAATACACTGCCATCACGTTTGAATTTTTGTGTCTACAAGGATCTACAAGGATTTACTAACTCTTGTGCTACCCACTTAGACTTTTATAAAGTTTGAACACAGGTATGTGTTCATCTTAGAAAAATGGGAGCAAGGTATTAGGCAATGTTAAAGGGGGAGTTTAAAAGTGATTCATGTCTGATTTGCTCTCTGTTGACAGCTTGTACAGGATATACTCACCATGGCAGTATTAGAAAAATTAGGAAAAGAAAGGAAGCTCTACCCATTAAAAGTTCTGAGAAGGTACCAGGCCCATTGAAAAGGAGGTTAGTTATAGTTAAGGCCTTACATTCTAGTTATCACTTTGGAGGAAGTATTCGAAGAGGAAGAGCCATGGAGGCTAGGAACAAAGGAAAGTCAAGAGGAGCTTACAGGAAAACCACCACATGAAGAGGTCCAGGAGAGTCCAGGAAGAGGAGATTAACGGGGAATAAAAGTATCACAGATGTAAAGGAAGATGAAACTGGGTAGTTGTATGAAGGAAGGGGAATCATGTCTATATTTGTAGGCTGAAGATAGACTCAATGAAAAAGATGAAAATGAAAGTCTGAGACCAGAGATGGCTCAGCAGATAAAGATATATGCTAACCTGAAAGGCCTGAGTTCAATATCCAGGACCCACAAAATGGAAAGAGAGAACTGATCCCCACAAGTTGTCTTCTGACTGCATGTTGTTTCACACACACACACACACACACACACACACACACACACACACACACACGACAAATAAAAATGTAATGAAACTGAAAAAGGAGGGAATAATTTTTCAGATACATGGATATGTGATTACTGAATTCTCAGAGTTCAGGCTCTATGACTAAATGGCTGTGTGACCATATATAGAAGGAGGTCCATGGGCTGTGAACACAGGGTGCCCCTCAGAGGGGAGGCATTCCATTAGACACTCAGAGAACAGGGGAACTATGATGAAATGCTCTTTGTTGTCTCCAAAGACTCTCTTGGATAAGATCTTAAACAGATGTTGTATATGATGACCATCTGACCAACTCCAGAAAGGTAAGTTTAAGCTGATAAATACCTTTATGGCAGATTAAGGTGAAGGATGTCCAAGTACATATATTCAGAGGAATTCAATCACATGCAAACAAACCCTGATAACCAGAAGCCAAACCTTTGAGCACTTAAAACTTTGATAATCAGAAATCCTAAATGGCCTCAGATTTATAGACTTACAAGTGCCTGTACTTGACAAGAGGTTTTACCATTATGGTCTATATTTCAAGCTTTAGTTCCATAGCATAAAGAAAAGTAAGAAAAGTAAGAAAAAGAAAAAGCTGGGTACAGTGCTGCTTGCCTATAATCCCAGCACTCTGGGAGACAGAGGCAGGTGGATCTCTGTGACTTTGCAGGCAGCCTGGTCTACAAAGTGAGTCCAGGACACCCAAGGCTACACAGAGAAACCTTGTCTTGAAAGGCCAAAAAAATAAACAAATAAGGGGGCTGGAGAGATGGCTCAATGGTTAAGAACACTGCCTGCTCTTCCAAAGGACCCCGGTTCAATTCCCAGCATGTGCGTGGCAACTCACAACTGTCTGTAATTCCACGGGATCTGACACCTTCACACTAATGCACATAAAATAAAAAGTTAAATAAATAAAAAATATTAAACAAATAAACAAAAAACAGAAAAAAATCCCCAACAGATCTTTAACAGACCTTTGCACATAACTTTTATTGTTAATATTTGCTACTAAATTTAAGTTCTGACTTCTAAGTGCTTTTAAGGAGGATGAGTTTAATTGATTTACTAATATGAAACTGAACAGAAACTTGATAACGTAGAAATGGTTTTCATTCCCTAGAGTATGTAACTAAAACACATTTATATGGAAACAATCTCTTAGAAGTACATTCGCTTTCTACTGTAGATAACATTAACCTCTCAATTTTGGGTGGGAAATACTGTGGAGAAGGTGAAAGCAATAACAAGTATGCATTTATTGCTTTGCAATCTGCTTCATGACTGCTGATACAGTACAATTTACTGTGTATCAGCTCCAGATGCTGCGACTTCCTCCATAATGAATTGTAACCTCTCAGCTGAAATAACAGCCCCGGCCCTGTTACGTTTGTTAAGAGTATTTAACCATTGAACCAAGAAGAGTCTTTGTGAATATTATAAAAGAAGGTGACCTCCCAGGAAAAAGTTCAGACTACTAAAGTAAGAGATTAGGAAGTATGAGCTCTGGCGCTTTAGAGCCTACCCGACAATTGAGCAGTGTGTATAGCAGGTGATCTGGGGTGGTCTGCGCTCTCCACTGTAAGACCTCTGAGAGGAACAGGAACTGCAATGACACAAAGATGGTAGGGTCATGCCACTGGAATCTGGGTTAGGCAATCGCAATATTTAAGTAAAAATAAATTGAGTAAAATAAATAAATTAAGTAAAATAAATTGAGTGCATGCTTCCCTACACAGAAGCACAAGGACATATTCACATTAAAAACAAAAACAAAACAAAACTCTGCCAAATAAGTCATCAAAAGAATGAGAAAATACTTGGCTTTTCCCTGCTGCTATTTAGAAATACATGGAGGGGATAGGATTTCCACAAGGAGAGCAACAGAACCAAAAAATCTGGCCACAGAGGTCTTTTCTAAGACTGATACTCCAACCAAGGACCACGCATGGAGATATGTGAGAACCCCTGCACAGGTGTAGCCCATGGCACCTCAGTCTCCAAGTGGGTTCCTTAGTAATGGGAACAGGGACTGTCTCTGGCATGAACTCAGTGGCTGGCTCTTTGCACCTCCCCATCAGAGGGGAGCAGCCTTACCAGGTCACAGAGGAAGACAATGCAGTCAATCCTGATAAGACAGGGAAGGGGAGGAGGACCTCTTCCCCTTGGAGAGGGGCAAGGGAGGAGAAGAGGGAGGGAGGGTGGGATTGGAAAGGGATGAGGGAGGGGGCTACAGCTGGGATACAAAGTGAATAAACTGTAATTAATAAAAAATAAATAAATTTAAAAAAAATGAAAAAAAAAAGAATTTAATGTATCTGAGACTGACAGTTCCTACCCTTGGCTAGGCAAGTTCTCTACAAGTCAGCCCAAGGAAGAGGAGAGCTATCCCCCTTATAAGTAACATCAGCCAACACAGTCAGTCATTTTTCCTCCCAGGGCTGTCAGAATATAAAACACTGATTTCTGCTATGTGCAGGAGAAAAAAAAAAATCTAATCTAACTTACTTTAAAAAAAAAAGCTTCTATTAAATATATGACTGTAGAATGCCAATTCTCTGGTGTTACTAAATTTCATTACAAGTTACATAGATTAAATGCATCATACTGATTTAGTACGTAATAAAAAGGACAGTCTCATTTCACATGAAGATATAGGAAACATATACATCTTGATATGTTTTATTAATAGAAATGTACTATGTGAGGGGAACATGACAATCAAGTTTTTTTAATGAAAAAATTTCTATATGTTATTACACTGGTAGTATTTAAATGGTTTTATCACATTCCTTAATAGCCCATACTGAATGAGCCTAATCTTGGGCTGTGGAAAATAGGGAGTCCTAAGCATTGTCAGAGCTGAGGTGCTGCAATGGGACTCAGAAATACATAGGCAAGTTATGAGCTCTGCTGTGTGGGTGAGGAGGAGCTAGATGTTTGCTCTTTAAGCTGCTGTAAGGAGAGCTACCTGCTAACAACCAGAAGACATAAACTGTACACAAAGATCACTGTGAGGCAGTGTGAGCTTCACATCAGGGCTGGTGGGGATACTTAGAAAGAAAGTGGTGAAGAGCAATGGTTTCCTAATATTTGTCTCAGTCCTGTCCAGGTTGATGATATCACTTCACTTCTGTGACATGATAAAATTTCTTAGAGCCTCATTCCCCACCCCCCCAATAAGACTATGAATCTCTACTGTATGACAAGTGGGGAGGTGTGACAGTATTATCAAAGATGTGAAATCAGCAATACATGTGGAACTGACTCACTGAGGACTTGGGACTGTGTGATTCTACAAATAGTTAACACATCTCTAGAGTCAAGGGAATAATTTGAGTTCTGACCTCGGTTCTCACCTTCCGGGCCTGGTCATTGTCCTCTATCTGACCCAGGTCTCTGCCACTAGCCTGGGCGATCCTCTTCCCAGAAACCAGGTTTCCCACCATCACTGAGGCAGGACCAATTTCTGGGGGGGAAAAAAAGAGAAGCATAACCTTAGAGACGAAAGTGAAATTCTTTCTAACAGGATTCTTACATAATTAGTAAGGAATTAACCTAGAAAAAAAGAATGCTTTCAAAGACCATGCCTTGAATCACTTTTTTAAAAATTTAATTTACATAATTATTACAATTTATTCACTTTGTATCCCCACTGCAGCTCCCTCCCTTGTCTCCTACCATTCCCACCCATCCTCCCTTTTCTCCCCCTATGCCCTTTCCCTAAGCCTCTGATAGGGGAGGACCTCCTCCCTTTCTATCTGATGCTAGCCTATCAGGTCTCATCAGAAGGGCTGCATCATCTTCCTCTGTGGCCTGACAAGGCTGCAACCCTCCACCGCCAGAGGTGATCAGAGAACCTGCCACTGAGCCCATGTCAGAGACAGCCCCTGTACCCCTTACTAGGGCACCCACTCGGAAACTGAGCAGTCAATGGGCTTCCTTTGAACAGGGCTTCTAGGTCTTCTTCATGCATGGTCCTTGGTTGGAGTATCGGTCTCTGCAGGACCCCTGTGCCTAGGTATTTTGGCTCTGTTGTTCTCTTGTGGAGTTCCTGTCTACTCCAGATCTTTCTATATCCCTCTTCTTCCATAAGGATTCTAGCACTCTGCCCCAAGTTTGGCTATGAGTCTCAGTATATCCTTCAATACCCTGGTGGGTAGTCTTTCAGAGGTCCTCTGTGGAAGGCTCCTGTCCTGTTCCTTGTCTTCTGCTACTTCTGATGTCTATCCTATTTGTCCTTCTGAATGAGGATTAAGCATCTTCCCTAGGGTCCTCCTTATTGTTTAGCTTTTTTAGGGCTACAGATTTTAATATGTTTATCCTATATTATATGGCTAATATCCACTTATAAGTGAGTATATATATAATTTGTTTCTTTTTGCTTCCGGGTTACCTCACGTAGGATGATTTTTTTCTAGTTCCCACCATTTTACTGCAAATTTCATGATTTCCTTGTTTTTAATTGCTGAGTAGTATTACATTGTGTAAATGTACAACACTTTAAGTATCCATTCCTTTGTTGAGGGACATCTAGGTTGTTTCCAGATTCTGGCTATTATAAATAGAGCTGCTATGAAAATGGTTGAGCAAATGTCCTTATTGAATGGTGGGGCATCTTTTGGGTATATGTCTAGGACTGGTATAGCTGGATCTTGAAGTAGCACTATTCCTAATTTTCTGAAGAAGTGCCAGACTGATTTCCAAAGTGGTTGTACAAGGTTACATTCCCACCAGCAATGGAGGAAGATTCCTCTTTCTCCACATCCTCTCCAGCATGTATCATCCCTTGAGTTTTTGATATTAGCTATTCTGATGGGTGTGAGATGAAATCTCAGGGTCATTTTGATTTGCATTTCCTGAATGACTAAGGATGTTGAGCATTTCTTTCAGTATTTCTCTGCCATTCGATATTCCTCTGTTGAGAATTCTGTTTAGCTCTGTACCCCATTTTTTAATTGGATTACTGGGTTTGTTGATATTTAACTTCTTCAGTTCTTTATATATTCTGGCTATTAGCCCTGTCAGATGTAGGTTGGTGAAGATCTTTACCCAGTTGTTGTTTTGTGAATCACTCTTATTATAAGACCTGATGTGCTTGTGATGGCCAAAATGGAGAAACCTGGATTAGGGTATATAGAAGTAATGTTTTCATATATACAGCATCCCTTAGCACCTTGTAAGCTGATGCTTCTATTAGCTAGTGTGAAGCTAACATTATGATGCATATTCAGGGGTGATTATAAAAGTGATACGGAGGAAAAATACAGGATGCAAAACCAGGATACACGTCACTGAGGAAGACTTCTTCTATAATGCGAGTTGACTCAAACCAAGCAAATTATGACACATTAATCTCTTGAGATAGATTCAGAGAATACTCATGAAGGGACATGATAGAGAATCACTTATCTACAGGTTTTATTGACCAGTGAGATTTGAGATTGAAGATCTTGGCCCACAATGAGATGTAGAAAAGTAAACCTAGAGATGCTGTACACTGAAAGTGTTTTTTCACTCCACTGTTACAAACTCAATGAGCTTTCCCTCCCTAGTTTAAGACAGAAGTTTGAAAGAGAAATATTAAACATTTTTTCTCTGATACCTTCATTTTTTTTCAATTATTAAAGAAGGAAGTTTCTTTAAAAATATTTTTGTAAAAGATTTTATTACATGTTTCCTTGTACACATACAAGCATTCATGCCATGGTATGAGTGCAGAGGTTAGAGAGCACTTGCTAGAGTCAAGTTCTCTCCTCTATCATGTGGGTCCTGGGGGAAATCAAAAATAGGTTCAAGATTAGCAACAATCACTCTACTCACGGAGCCATTTTGCTGGACCAGAAATTTCTTAAGGAACTACAGAAACTCAAATTTTGACTGTTAGAAACCCTTGCATGCCAATTACTCATCTTTGCATTTAATGCATACACAGAAATTAAGGAATATATATTTAATAGGGAAAGGTTTTGCATTCTAGATCTGTGTGAGAGGGACAGACAGACAAACATATACACACACACAGAGGTGAGGGGAGGCAGGGGGTACAGGGGGGAAGGGAAGGAAGAAAAAGATATTTAGCACAGGAATTACAGTATAAAGACTAAGATGATGGTGAATTGGTAGGTAAAGTACTTGTTACGCTGCCATGAATAGTGGAGCCCAACCCCCAGAACCCATTTAAAAAGCTCGGTGGGTGTAATACCCACCTGTAACCTCAGTGCATATGAGGCAGACATGGGCAGAAACAACTTGAAACAAGTTGGCTTGTGAGACTAGCTGAATCAATAAGCTGTGTTTAGCAAGAGCCCTTGCCTCAGCATATTACGTAGAGAGTGATTAAAGACACACGTCAACTTCAAGCCTTCACATTCATGGACACTCAAGTGTACCCACCCATGTGAACATGTATATAAAACATACCACACACATAAACAGAAAAAAAAATCACAGCATAAAATAATACAGGTAGCATGATCAATTTGTACTATATTTTTGATGAAATTTTAAGATGATGACTGGTAAGTGAAATTGCTATTAAATGTCTGGTGATTAAGTTCTATGTTAATCAATCAAGACATATGCATTATTTACTATCCACAAAGAACTGAGTGTCTTGAAGCTCAACCAGAAGATCAGGGAACATATAAAATAAAAAGATGAGATTCATATCAGTGGATACAGTGTCAAGGAACAAGGCCTAGAATGGGCCAGTTACCATGACAACTACAATGACCATTACTTTGGCTTCCCCATAAAAATGTTCTGGAATTCTGGCTCAGACAAGGCATCTGCTCACCCTTTAGCTGACAGTCCAAGTCAAACGCAGAGTTACTCATCCTCCACAGACATGCAGTGGTCCATGTGAATTTAGTTTTCCAGAAAAATATATCTTTCCCTTCTTGTCCTGAACATTCTGCATGCGACTCTTCAGTGTTTTTCAGCTATTCTGATAGAATGTCATGAGGGAAGTTGTAGCTGTGGATTTGTGTCTGTTCTGGTAACTGCTGTAGAATTGTTGCTAGTTCTTACAATGGCTTAAAGGTTGTTCAACACTTCTGTGCTCAGGTTTTTAATCATACTACACACTACTATTAACTGAATAAATAACTTGCCCATCAGAAAAGACAATTTTGTTGTCTATGAATCTGTATTTTTAAGGACTCTATTTGTTGCTTGTAATGAAAACTTTACACATACGTGGCTAAAGACAATATTTGCTCTGGTTGCTAGCAGCATACCTGTTCAGAATTATTTTAAGTGTTTCTTCCAAAAAAGCTAGTTTTTGAAGAAAAACTACACACACACACACACACACACACACACACACACACACACATAATGGTATCCGAGGGCAATGTCTTCTGGGGCCATTACAGGTCATTATCAGCAAATCTATAGAGACTTATACAAGTAAGTCATAATGCCCCAGCATAGATCCTATATTTGTTGAATGGGTGGGAGTAAGGGAGAATAGAAAGATGACAGAAAAGAGATAAAATACTGCTAGGTACTAGTAAAGCCCTGGGTTCAATTTTCAGAATGAAAGAAGTAAAAAAAAAAAAAAAATGCATTTTCAAGACACATATTACTACACCTGCATACATATATATGCAGAGTTAACCATCACCTACAGCTTTATTAAGTAGGAATAATATTAAAGTTTTAATCCATTAAACCATAATTTCCTGCTATCCCTAATGAAAGTAGCTTTCTTTAGGTGTCTTGACCTTTGCTCCAGCCTAAGACCAAAGTCTTTTCCTATGGGCCGATTTTTCTAAACTACTTAAGAGTCTTAAGATTGAACAAGTAAGGCCAGTTAGTATTAAAATCGTGGTATTTACTTGCAAATGATATACTCCTATACTAAGTGTCTATCCTGAAGCTTCATGTGGTATTGAACTGGCTTGGTTATAGGAACTACTGTTATTGGGGTCACTAGGGCCAGGCATTCTACTACTTAAGCCATCAAAATTATAGAAAAGATAGTTTAGTCACCTGCAGTTTGATGTTGAGGACACATTATTGAGTACGGAGTGAAGCATGAAACTATAGTATCTATAATACTATAGATACCAACATGCATACAAAGAGCAAGCCCTGCATCATTTCCAGTGTTGTTTATGTTCTCAGACAGTATGGTTTTTGAAAGGCTGTTTTCCATCCTTCTGTGATGCTCCCTGAAGGACAGTGTTTCTTATTTTCCTGAGGTTTCCTGTTAAAGTACTAGTTACACTTTAGTCAGCTATAGCTCTACATTTGCTATAGATTCATATAGACCAAGGACAGTGAGGAAGAATGTAGATTTGAGGAAAAAAGAAACAGAGGAGATCTAGAATATGAAAACAGTAGAGACAGAAATGTCAGGTGTAATGGTAATCCTATAATCCTGGCACTTGGGAGGAGGAGACAGGAGAATTTTAAGTTGAAGGCCAAACTGGGTTACTTATCAAGAATCTAATAAAGAGAGGGGATAGGAGAGAAGAGAGGAGGGTGAGAACAGTGGATAATAGATACCAATGAGAAAAGTTAGTCTAATGTTTCTCAAAAGCTAAACAAACAAATGAAACCCCACTTCCTATGCTGTTTTGCATACTTAAATGTGAGTATACTAGGGAAGATCACACTACTTAGTGGCATAACTCCCATACTGCCTACCATAAAAACATCCCTGAGGTGTAAAAATAGTAAGTGCAAGGGTTTTGCAATCTGAAGAATGGATTCAAGTCCTTAGCCTACTATATGTTTGGCCAATCACTTTTCTCCTTCAAGCTTTCCATACTTGATCTTTGATTTGAGGTCACCCTCTTGTCTCTTGAACTTGTCCTGCAAGACCTCCAGACCTGATCACCTCTGAAGAGCAACCAGGATGAGAGCTGTTCAAGTGGCTTGCACTGTTATTACAAAGGGGGCAGTGTTAAGGCACTAGCTGGGTAATAAGGTTATCCACCTTTAGGATGACTTGCTAAAGACTCCTGCTCAACAGTACCATTCTTTAACAGGTGGCAATAAAAGACCCCAAGCTAGGCTTAAAAAACAGGAAGTGGAAGGTGAGTAATGTTGAGATATGTTTAAATTCTGTGTTGGGCACATTGTAGCTGTGTGATGTTAGATAAAACTCAGTCTCCCTCTCTCTGTGCTTCATCAGTACAACAAAGAGCACCCTTTTTCTTTTTTTAAATTTATTTTGATTTCCTTTTTTATTTACTTTACATCCCAAAGGTGTCCCCTCCCTTATCTCCTCCCAGTGGCTCCCTTACCCCCTTACTCCTTCCCCTCTCTCTTTCCCCCCCAAGGAAAGGGTGGGCCCTCCCTCTGTATCAACCTTCCCTAGCACATCAACTCACATCAGGACTGAGCATGGAAGGGAACTCTTTTCATGAAACCATAGGGACCAACAGATTAGCACATATGGAGATTGGGATGGTCCACATCACATCATGTTTGACCAGCTTTGGTCTGGTTTGTACATACTAGCCCCTTAGCAGGATAGTTCCTATTTTCTAATTTATTACATTCAGACAAATTCACTGACAAGTGTGTGTGTGTGATCTAATAGTTCATGACTGATTTAGGAGCTATGAGAATCAAGCCAGATAAAGGGTAATGTGTTCCCAACCTATCAGACACTGAGACAGCAGTCTTGGTCAGGAATAAATAGAATTCCTCATGTTTCAAAGCATTATCCAATAGCCTATTGCTTTCACTCCTCAATTAGCTATATAAAACCTTGTATGTATTGTTCTAATTATGTATACTAGGACCCCCAAGGGTTTGTGTCTAGTCTAGGACTACCAATAAATGACTGTGTATAACCAATTCCAGTGGAAGTATTATCCAATGAGAAGGTACACAGCATTTTTACCCATATGCTCTGTACTGACTACCTAAGTAGACCTCACTGTCTCAGCAGAGCTGCTGCATTCTAGCTATCAAGGCGCAAACATACTTTGTGAGGAAAATATTCTGTCTGGAGTGTGAATCATGTGCAGAACATGTGTGCAGATGATTACCAGATTATTCCTAGATGTAGCCCCTCTTGAGCCTGCTATTGACAGGAACACAGTTTACAAAGCCCACTCAAGGCTATGTCAGACCATGCAAGAGCATACCTGGCTGCTTCTGCCGAGGTTTAGGTAAATTTGTGACACAGGTGTGTGGGCACATCAGGACATTGCAGGGGTGAAGGGAGCCCTCCAGGAAAAGCTGCTTTGTTTCTGACAAATGGATGCCACCAAGTGGGGTTTTGGGAAGGGTATTTGCTGGTACCAAGGCCAGGCAATAAACTCCAACTTGATGTATACTGTCAATTGCCTGAAAAGGAAGAAAAGGGCAGTCATATTGAAATAGGAAATACAAACAGAAAACAATAAATAGTATATTTATTTAGTTTTTTTTGTGTGTATGGGTGTGTATGAGTGTGTGTGTGTGTGTGTGTGTCTGTGTGTGTGTGTGTGTAGGTGGTTTTTGAGTGCTGTCCTTTTTTTCTTTTTTTAAATCTTTTTGATGAAAGTATTTCTTACTGGCTCAAATTTGCCAATTAGGCTAGGCTGCCTAGACAAAAAGGTCCAAAGACCTGCCTTTCTAGCAAAAAGATCACAAGACATACCACTGTCCCTGGCTCATTCTAAATGGCTTCTAGGGATTGAACTTGGGTACTGATGCTTACACAGAAAGTACTTGACGCACAGCGCTCTCTCTCCCATCCTCTTCATTGTTGTTTCTCTGTTTTTGTTTCTTGTTTATTTAAAGCCCAGCCTCACACTATAGCCTAGACTGAGCTTTAACTAGTGGCAATCAATTTGCCTTAGCCTCCGAAATCTGGAATTACAGGAATGAGTCACTATACCTAGCCTTTTTAAATAACTACATGCACAAAAACATTATAAACACTATATAAACACTATATAAACTATATAAACTATATAAACACTCACAAAGGAAAACTGCTCACAAGAGAAAAAAACATTCAAGTTTCCAATGGAGTCTCAGTAGGTATATAAACCATACTTAAAGGCAGGCCCAATCTCAGCATAAATGGGCAACACAAAATGAACTCAGTGGTATTGCTGGAAGGGTTTGTCTCAGAAAGCTTTATCCAGGCATTTTTTTTTTCTTTTTTTACCATATATTATGGTTTCCAATTCTGTTTTTATGAGATTTATGTATGTGTATCTCTGCCTGTATGATTTTTTCTTTTCCTTTGCTGTCTGACTGACTCTGTGTGTGTGTGTAGTTGCGTGTTCATTTTTAAATGTGAGAAATAAAGGAATGTAGATTTACATGGGTGGGAAGATAGGGAGGACCTTGGAAGAGTTGTGAGAGGGGAAACCATGATCAGAATATATTGAATGAAAAAGCTATTTTCAATAAAAATTATAAAAACCACCTACTGTCTATAATATATGAAAGTATACATGGTATGAACTGTGCTTTGCATAAAGGCCAAATGAAGAGACAGTTTTCTCACTATAATAAAAAGGTTCGCATAATTCCACATAGAGCTATTAGAAAACCATAAATAATTAAAAAGGGGGGTTTGGAAAAAAGAGTGTATATTCTCATAATTATAACAACACGTTTGTTGTTCTCTGATGTAACTGCAAAAAAAGCAGTTTTGCAGTTCCTGACTTTTTACCTTCATCTGCTTAGCTTGTTTCTGGACACTATATAATTTCCAATCAGGCAGTTTGAACAACAGAATATGGGCTTACAGGCAAAGGACTAGTTGACAAATGTTGGGCCATAGTCTTACAGTGAATAAGAAAAGCTGGAAGTACTTAAATGCTTTAAGACACAGCCCCACATACCTGGAGTACTCTGCTCATCCACTGGAAACTGTCTTCCTCTGTGGAGTCCGGCCTCTGCTCAGCCACAATCACTATCCTTTCATCATGAAGGACGGTCACTGAGAACACAGCTATCCTGCAGGAACAGAGGGAACATGTGGTAAGCAGAGGACAGAGACCTGTTTCCAAGAACTCCTGTGGCAGTAAGAACCTATAATCAAGATTAATTAATCAAATCTCAGAGTCTTTCACAGAGCCAAACTAGTTGCAGACTAAGTGTGGGGGTGCACAGGCAAGCTGCCAGTGGCTGCCCTTTCCCAAAAGAAAACTGACCTTCTGTCTTTCACCAGCTAGCAACCAATTGTTGATAGCTCCTCAGGTAGGCCTAGACCAGTGGTTCTCAACATTCTAGTGCTTCAACTATTTAACACAGTTCCTCAAGTTGTTGTGAACCCCAACATAAATTTAGGCTCTAGTTTTAAAGATAATTTAAATCTGGGAATTGTCCAGCCATGTTCCTATGAACTGTTAGTTTTCAAAGAAACTGTTAGTTTCAAAGAAAAGCATCTGGAGGAGTTTCTGATTCCTCTTCTGCATTACCAGAAATCTCAAGAGCTACAAGAAAACATCTACATGTAATTAACCCTTGCTGAGTGCCTACTATGTCAGGGAGGGAAGAAAGAAAGGAAGGAAGAAAGGAAGGAGGGAGGGAAGGAGGGACGGAAGGAAGAAAATCGTGGGGCACTCAGACACACAAGCAGGCACTTTTCTACATAAGTTATGATTGATTGTTATGTCTGGGTCTCTTGGACCTACACAGAACTTTTAAAGATATTAAGTTAAAGAGTGTATCAAAGAGTTCATATTAGTTCTTGAGGAATCACAACTTGCTGAGATCTTAGTGGTCATTAAATCCAAATGCTTCAATTCGATAGAAGAAGGAACTGAGTCCAAATAAATCTAAGTAATTTCTACAATCTTTAAGCCCTATTCAACTATGCTGGCTAGTTATGTGCCAAAATGACACAAGCTAGAGTCATCAGAGAGGGAATCAATTGAGAAAATGCTTCTATAATATCAAGTTGTAGCAAGCCTGTATGGTTCTTAATTAGTATTGATGTGGAGGATCCAGCCTATTGTGGTTGGAGCCCCCCACCCCCCGGTTGGTGGTCTTGTGTTCTGTAAGAAAGTAGGCTGCACAAGCCATGAGAAGCAAGCCAGTAAGCAGTATCCTCTATGGCTTTTGTATCAGCTCTTGCCTCTAGGTTCTTACTTTGAATTCCTGTACTGACTTCCTTCAATGATGAACAGTGATATGGAAGAATAAGCCAAAAAAAGTCTTCTCTAAATTGCTTTTGGTCATGATGTTTTATCAAAGCAACAGTAACTCTAACTTGGAAACCAGCTATAAACCAAAACTGAGCATTTAATTTGAAGACAAGTACCACTTACCTTCCTCTGTAGACAAACTTCATGGGCTCTACAGCTAAGGCTGTGGCGACTATGTCATCGGCATTGTGTCTTCGTCCACTGACTACCATCAGGCCATCCATCTTACCCACAACAAAGACAAGGCCTCCAGGACCAACAAATCCCAGCAAACCTGTCCTTATGAATGGGTATTCACTGATTGGAGCCCCAGAGCTGGTCATGGGAAATACCTAGGGGAACAAGGCTGCAATTAGGCCACCTCATGGGTTAGCAGGGTCATACTTTTATACCACTTCTCTGTGAAGAGAAACCAAATTTACTTCCCTACCTGCAATAACTCTGCCAGCATGAGATCATGGTGACTCTGCTTGACAGTCCACAAACATGGTGTGATGTTTAATCTTCATTGTCAATTAGACTGGATTTTGAATCACCTAGGAGATATACCTCTGGTCATACCAGAGAGCTTTACCCTAGGGAAGATTCAGTCTGAATGTGGGTGATAGTATTTCTTGGGCTGAAGGCTTAGACTGAATACAAAGGAAGCTAAGCACTAGTATTCATCTTTTGGTGCTTCCTGACCATGGCTGCAATTGGATAAATTGTCTCATGTTCCTGCCACTATGGCTTCCCCAAGATGGATTATACTCTCCAACTGTAACCAAAATAAATTCTTCCCACTTAAGTAGCTTTTGTTAGATAGTTATAGGCAGGTCAAATGTAAATAAATGCACATGGACATGTTTTCCTCAGGCTCAGCAAAGTTCTGTTGTTTCTGCATGTCTCAGTGATATGCAAGAGCTTGAGGAAGCTCCTCTCTCAGACTCTGAGCCTCCACATGGACAGTGGCCAGAAATCATTGCACTATGCTTAAAATACCAGGTGAAAGTGGTTAATGGAGACTTAAGGTACATTTTTAAATAACACATATTGGTGTAGCTGATCCTTATTCATTAAAATGTTACTTCTCCTTATTGGAAACACACCAAAATAGAAAATGTGAAGAGAGCACAGGAAGTCAGAAATCCAAATCTTGTTTCCTTCAACCATGAAGATAAATCACATAGAAAAGGAAGGTTTTGCTTAGGTTATACACTCAGCTCCAGTTCCAGGGTTTTTAGAGATCTGAGTTCATATTCATATATATGTTCATCCAAAAATTTAACATTTAGGAATTAATAATCTGTTATACTCATGAATGAGTAAAATATTGTGTTAATCCTAAAGCTAGGCATCATATGAGAAAAAGAAGAAAGTTCTAAGAATATTGTGATACAGTGCAGGATACCTGAACCTGTGGATTTAAGTCCTTCCATGTCTCTGCTCACTATGTATTCACCACCTGCAAAAAGCAGGTTATCTATGTACACCAGATAGTCACACGTGTATACCAATCATTTCACATACATGCCACATGTGTACATAGAACACACATGTACAACACATATCCACAAACTACATGTAATATCTATACCTATGATCTGTCACCACATATATTTCACATGTACCACTAAAATAATTACTTAGTGTGTACATTTGTTCAGTTTCTCCTGAGTTCACATCCAGCCAAGTCTAGCTGATGCTACAAGATTGTGCAGGAATGGCCATCTGACTTCCTGAGTAAGGACATCTACTCACACACCTATACACATGTCCTCTTATCACATATTGTTTTTCACCACTTACCTGTCAGCTGAGAACAATAAACAAAAACCCCATTCAAAAAACTGCTTATTCAACAGTTTCCTTTTGCTGCTTTTAAATGGGCACATTCCTATTTCATCCACAATCCAGAATATGAAAAAAAAATTGTTCCAAATATTTGATATTGGTGGAAGTTTCAGTGTTGTTTCACATTTTATTATATTTACAGTTTTTACAAGAGCCCAAATTAAATAGCTCCCAGGGAAGGACAGTGAAAAAGAGAAAATAATAGAAGGAAAAGGAAGTAGAAGGGCAGGAGAAAAACAAGGTGGGAAGGAGGAAGAAGGAAAAAAGAGAGGGAGGAGTGAAAAAAAGAAGTTCAAAGTAAGACATTTGGATTGTATTAGCATTCTTTGATCCATACATCCATGACCTCCTTTCCTGTGTTGATCTTCGTTTCCTGAACATTATTGTTTATTTTCAGCAGTTACCTAATCTTTCAGAATTAGTCCACGGTGGTTCATCTGAAATGATTTCAGTGAGTGAGATTGCTAAAGAATGTTAAATTGAAGGTAAAAATCACAAAATAAGCAAAAGAAGAACAACAGGAAGCCATGCTCATATGCACACATGTTCATGTATTTTCCAGCTCTTTTCAATCTTTCACATTGACTATTTATATTTCATATAAGGAAAACTTTAAATAAACATGTTACATAGAAAAAAAAACCTGCTTATTCTTTCTGGGTACTAGCTGAAAGTTCAGAATAACGTTGATAACCCAATTATCAAAAACAAAAATAATACGCAAAAAAGCCACCAGTTAACTAATATGAATGCTCTTTTGTGAAATCATCATCTTGGCTTCTTATCTGTCTTTGAACAGCTGGCAAAGCTGTTAGAGACGAGAGCTACAGAAAGAACTAAAGGATCTTTCTGTAGGATCAACCTACCTCAAAGGTGTTCTTGGTCATGCCAGAGAGGCCATAGTATGATGTTCCTGTGGCAACTGCACAGACACAGAGCTCCCCGATTTCATCTGTCCTGCACAACTGAGGAATCCCATCTGGCTTCACAGAACACATGATGGCTAAAGACAGAACAAGAAAGAACAAGGAGGGCATGAGCAAGAAGGAGGGAAATTAACAAACCCATGAATACCAGTGGGGAACAAATGAACAGAAATACTATCATGAATAAAATTCTAATAACGTCCAGGTTTTCATTTTCTTTAAGAGTTGTAACTTTTCATGTTGTATCAAAATGTCATATTTCATTGTTATGACAGCAATCATTTCAATGACTCTAATTTAAATATGAAAACTATATTTAAGGAGAGAAACACTGTGCCATTTATATAAGAGATGATTGTATCAGAGTCATTCACTACACATGTACCAGAAGAACAGGTGAAAGTTCTAGAACACAACTTCAGCCCTGCAAATGGAGTAGCACAGATATTTGCTTGTAAGTCTTCCAAAGCTTTTCCAATCTGAAAGCAGAATTTACAGCCTCCAGTGTCCTGCATAAATTGTATCCTTTCGTTTAAATCCCTTGTTGCACATAACCCTTCAGAGAATTCTACGTTAAGTTTTTGGCATTGTGTGTGTGTATGTTCATACACACTCATATGTCAAGACCATTTGTTTCTACCTTCAACATCTCCCAGCACCAGGATCATTCTTCTGTGGCAGATTTTTAAAATCATAGTTGCACAGTAAGTACTTTGCCAACTGAACCCTCCTTCCAGCTTTTAAAGCACTCAATTTAACAATGCTAAATTCTCATTAGTCTATGACCCACACACTTTCTTGATGCTTATATGACGTTAGCATCCTACTCACTACTGCTAGAAACCATAAGCCTGACTAGGAGGGAGCCATGGGCCTAGTATCTTAGACAAGTGATATTTATAGCCAATGACAATGGAATATTTAGAAACCCTACAACCTCCAAAGATGGCATTATAGCTAAGAAATATAATTAATAGAAATTTAAAAAGTTAAACTGGCTCACAATAAGAAAAAATATATATCTAAACTATACCAAAAAGTGGAGTTCTGTAGTAAGTGAGTTCAAGGTCATCTCATGAAGTTAGTAAGACCTTGCCTCAAAATAAAATATAAAGGAAAGAGCCAGGCATAGTGGCCCATGCCTTTAATGCCATCTCTCAAGAGGCAGAGGCAGACAAATCTCTGCAAGTTCAAAGTCAGTCTGGTCTAAACAAAGTTCCACAACAGCCAGGGCTATGTGGAGAGACTGTGTCTGTTTAAAAAAACAAAAAACAAACAAACAAAAAACCAAAACACCAAAATGTACAAGAAAGACTGGGAGGCGGCTCAATGGTAGAATATTTGTCTAATGTGTGAGGGCCAGGGCTCAATTTCCAGGAGCCGAAAACACAACCAACAAGACCAAAAGTAGATAAAAAATGTCTTCACCTATCAGACTATAGGTGAAAATACCAAGAAGCCTGATGAGAAAGGCAGGGAGAAAGTGGGATTAGCACCTGTCATTGCCAGAAATATGAATCCTTACAGGAGTTTGAGAAAACAGTTGAATATGATCAAAATTATGTGGGCATGTTGTCCTTGAAGCAGACACAAGACCTGCAGCTAAGACTAAGGCAACCAAAATCCCAGCACAAATCCCAGATTGGGGAAGAGGCTTATGAAATTTCACTTCTAGTGGAGAAGCTATTGGTAACTGGTAGCTGATGCTGGAGGAAGAGTAAGTTTTTCTTTAGGAATGCAGTCCCCATAGGGCTACTCATGATGACCTTATACCCATGTGCACAAAGGCAGTACTAAGTTGACTTAGTGGGTTTTAAAAGGAGAGATAACTGGAGAGATAGCTCAGTACCAAGAGCACTGGCTATTCTTACAGAGGACTCAGGTGATTCCCCATACCCACAGGGTGGTTCACAACCGTCTGTAATTCCAACCCCAGGGGATCCAACACCCACTTCTATCTTACCGTGGCATTAGGCACTCATGGTGCACAGATACACATGCAGGCAAACACACATACAAATATTTAGATACATATATAGAGAGAGAACATATGAAGTTGGGGGTGAAAGGGTTGGGGAGAGAATTGGGGGCATAAGGAAGGAATTGCAAATGATGGAATAAGGGTAGATTTGATCAAAATAGTATATGTACATGTGAAATTCTTTTTTTTTTTTTTAGCCAGCCCAAAATTTCTTTTATTCATTCACGGAGAAAAATGAAATCTCAGAATAAACTGCCAGGTGTTAGCAGAAGCCAAAGTAAGCAGGTCTCTGAAAAGTGAAAATCTCATCTGGACATTGTACAAGGCACTATCTATTTCCCTCAGGCACAGCAAGGCAACTGTGTCATATGTTGAACTTAGTTGTTCTTTTCTTGAGAACCAAAACAAATACCAGGTATTCACACCCTCCTCCTCAGCCTTCCAAATGGAAAATGAACACAAATGAGGTTCAACTTTTGTGTGAATCTCTCAAACTGGAGGCAGAACCTTGGCTCCTCCTGTGGCATCATGGGGACAGGCTCAGTGCATGGGTATGGAAGTCAAATACATGGACATGGAATTTAACCTTTACTGGTGCCATTTGACTTATAATCAGTCAATAATCATTCTACTTTCATCGCAGGATAATTAAAGGTTATTATAATTTGCCTGTGGCTGTAACCTGCTGCTGGATAACATTAGAAACTATTTTTATTACAGCACTTGAGGGAGTTTAGTTTCCTTTCTATAACAATAAGCAATGCTTCTCCTCTGGAGCACACCCTTTTGCTGTTGAGAAGCTCCTGGGTTAAACAAACACTTGATATTAAAACACTTTTAACAGCACTTAAAAACTAAACAGTCATATAGAAAAAATGTTCTAGGAAGTACGTGTTTATATTAAGCATCAACTTTAGGTTTGAAAAGTGCACATGAATTTGGTTATGACAAATTTTTAATTTCAGCTTGGTTGTCACTGGAGAAGTTTACTTAATGAAAAGGAAAAGCATTTGCTGTACTCATCCATGACACCCCAGCTCTCCGCTGCCCCTTCTTCTTTCTCCATAGCAAAGGACCCATCACCTATAAAATTGGTATTAGGTAGGCTCCTGGAGAATACAGGATATCTTTGAAACTACTATCATATACCTGTCTTTCAGCTGAAAGGTACAGATTTCCAGGTTAATAGTTACCCTCTCTGCTCCTTGTTATTTCATGGAAGTGGTGTTGGGATTACTAACCTATTTTAAAATGATTTTAATAATAATTAGAAGTACAAAGCAATTCATAGATAAGTAGGAAGCCACCAATTCTATCCCTTCAACTAATTTTCTGAACATCAGCTTATCAATAAGTAAGGGAGAAAAGTGGCACCCCCTTCCTTAAATAGTAGTAATCATAAAATACATACTAATTCTATCTAGTAAATATGAACTGTTAAAAAATTTGTGTTTTTCTTAATAATAAAAAAGAAACACTTCACTTTTGAGAATTTTTTTTCATTATATTCTCACACCCTTGTAAGACTGAAGCACAGATGTGGCCCTTCACATCAGAATGCAGCAGAGAGTACAACTCCCCCAGCTGTGGAAGGTATATTATTATTCATTCACACTGTGTAATACTGCATTGCCTGGAAAGAAGCAAGTTCTTTATGTGCATACAAGTGAACATAAGACACAAAACATGTTGTACTATATCCTACCATTGCATTTAAAAACCCCAAATCCAAGAGAGACAATATACAAGTGCATATGGATGTGGGAGTGTGTTTCTTTGATATGATACTCTACTATGGACTGTTTCTGAATAGAAGTTTCTGAAAAGAAACCTGTGATACTGTAAGTGACTTCAATGGACAGAAAGGTTTTTCACTGATATGTCACCTGAATCTTTTGATGCCTCCAGCATGGGAATCCATTTACTTACAAGCTAGTTTGCTTGGCTTTGTAAAGAAATAAAGCAACATAGCTAGGTGGTAGGGCTAATCCTAGGGAGTGAGCAATGAGCCTGCAATGGCCTCAATTTGGAGTTTGGAGACCCAAGTTGTTCTGACTCTAAAAGAGTTTCTATGACAACAGGTAAAATAGAAACAGTTAGAAGGCTGTAGAGAACTAGCAGCACTCAGCCCAAGCTTTATTTCTGTATGCTTTGAACTAGGCAAGCAGAAAGGCCACCCCCACTCCTGTACATTTCATCCTTACAGAGGGACAGTGTGAAAAATCCATCTTTCCATGATTCTATGAGGGCAGCATGGCCTTTTCCCCACTATGTTTTGTCCCAGCACTCACACCCCAACCAATATCCTATAAGAAGCCTAACTGGCTATATACAGCTATGCAGTATAACTAGACATATAACAATGAATGCTGCTCATGTATGGACTTGCCACTCTAGTGTGTAAAGGAGCTTGGGCGACTTCAAAGGAGGTGGCCTAGATTCTGGGCCTGAACCAGAATCTAGAACCCTGAGCTCTATTGTGGAAGACAGAAATTGAGGACAAATGTGCTGATGTGTGTGGCCCTGTGAGACAGAAATTGGGAATAACATTCAACAAATAAATAAGAACATGGGCTGTAGTTTTGTATGTGGCTCTGAAGTATCAAAGCATATTATATGAGGGGCTGGAGTGGTAGGTGTGTGCAAGTGTGTGCATGCATCATGCGTGGGTACATGCATGCATGTATATGCATGTATATGCATGTGAGAGAGACATGGCAATAACTCTCTAACCGCTTTTATGCTAAGTAATAGCTTCACACATAACAAACATCTCATTCCTCAGGTTTAATATATACTGCTCAAAGCCTTCCATACTCCCACTCCTTGGCCTAGTGGGCCTACTTGAAGCCTAAGATACACTGGGCATTTTCTTAATCACTGATTGATGGAGGACCCAGCCCACTGTGGGTGGGGACACCCTTGGGCTAGTGGTCCTGATTTCTATAAGAAAGCAGATGAAGCAAGCCATGGGAAACAAACCAGTAAGCATCACTTTCCCATGGCCTCACTGCATCAGCTGCTGCCTCCAGGTTTCTACCCTGTTTGAGTTCCTGCCTTGGCTTCCCTCAGTGCTATAACTCAGAACAGGTAAGAGGAATGAAACCTTCCATTCTCAAGGTATTTACAGTCATGGTGTTTTATTACAATAGAAACTCAAGCTAAGACAACCCTCCAGGGCTGCACTCACCTCCAGGCATGACAAGGCCCACATCCTGAACTGTGAGCACTGACAGCTTCTCCTCCGAATCCACCCGGATCACACCATAGGTCAGCCCATGCATGGATAGCACACCTCGCCCTGGTGGCTGGTTGCTGTCATCTGTGGGCCTAAAAAGGTAGTTTTAGCTGAACATGTGCAAGCAAACAAACCATTCTACCTTTAGATGTGTACATCTACACACACACACACACACACACACACACACACACACACACACACACA